TTTTTTTTTTCAGGGCGGCTTTTTTTTGTTTTTTGGTCGGGGGGGGGGGGGGGGGAGGGGGGCGGTGAACGTATATATAACCCCAGAAAGTGGCGGTGGTTTCCATTCGTCGAATATATTTTCATGATTTCGCGTTTTCAGGGGCGGTCGTGACTGACGACGACGTCTTCGAAACGGTCAAGGTTGCTGCGAGACTCTGCGGGATTGGCTTGTTGACCAGCGGCCTAAACGTGGAGATGGTTTCGGCAATATATAGTAAGCGTAACGAGGGCTGGCCGCCCACTGGCAGATTGTGTATGAACGAAGCAGCTGTGAACCACAGGGGGCGTCGTGGTGGGCGCATGCTTCAAGCGAGAGCCATATATGGTGTTCCGTGTTTGGGTGGTGCGGTGGTTGGAGTGGGGAGGAGGAGAGAGAAATCTATACACACGAGTTGTGTTTGCTGTTGTCATGAAAAATAAAATCGTTCCAATCTCTGCTCCGTCCGTACTCGTCCACGGTCGAAGGCTAACTACCCCACATGATACAAAGGGTAGTTTGTGCTACACCTAAGATCCTTTCTCAGGCACGCCTTCTTTCGAGTACAATCGAAAGAATCCCATCCTTTTTCGCGAAAAAAAAGAAAGACACACGTCGTCATGTGAGGAACACTGCCGTCCGTGGCGCTCTCCCTTTCGACCCTTCATGTCCGAATCAACATACATTTGCTTTTTGCCGAACGGGTTCACCTGACGTGCACAAACCGATTGATAGTGTGTGTTGGCGGGGGGCTGCACACACTTTCACTACCGTGTGTGGTACTAGTGCGGTGGAACAGTCGACGATCCCCGTCGTGCCATTTATTTTCTATTGGCCGCCGTGTCGACCCTTCACGACTTTTCGCCAAGCCGCAGTGCGTCTTGATTGTGTCAAGGTTGTTGCTCAGTTGCTTGCCACAACGTTCGCAAAAGACGTGGCCGTTGGACGCTATCAAACCCTGGTTCTGAAACTTCCGCACGCGCTCCTGGGGCGAGATGGCGGTGGCGTTGTTGGTGCCGTTCTTGCTGGGGCTCTTTCTTGATTTCTTGGTGGGGTGTACGAGGTTGTGTGTCGGAGCACGCGTTCTACCCTGGGCACTGGGCTTGGGCCGACTTTGCCGCAGAAAAGGGTTTTGAGCTTGACTGCTCGACTGCGGGACGGTCCAGTTCGAAAGACTGCCTGCAGCAGGAAGGGGCGCCGGCGCCGGTGCCAACGCTGTCGCCTCTGCGGCGCCGGCGGGGCTGCTGCCAGAAGGCTGTGATGCTGCTGTTGATGGCGTAGGGCCAGCCGCATTCGGCTCTGGCGAGGAAGACATAGTGGTGCCGAATTTGGCTCGGTGTACATCGTGTATCGTCTGCAGCGTGTGCACGCCCGGCGTGCTGGCTGTGGTGTGCCGTGTGCTGGGTGCTAGCTGTAGCTGTGTGCTGTGCAATTTGAATAGCAGTTCCGCGGGTGTTTCGATACACCCCCCGGAAGTGTCCCCATATCCCGGAGTTCATGACATAACGGCGTTGTTATTTGGTTGCCTCGCGTGCCTGAGAGGGGACTGGGCACGTCCCTAGCGAGGAACAGGAGCACCAAGGCACAATAACCACGTTCCGGCAGCCCTCTCCCGAAAACGGGCTCTCAGGCAAATTTAAGGCATGCTTGAGGGGCCAGGGCTTACCGCCGTGGCCTGTGATCGATGTCGACGATCGTTTTCAGTTTTCAGCGGTTGAAAAAGGAAAAGAGAGAAAGACAAAAGACAGAGCAATACCGTGAATCCCAAGCACGAGCACCAATCGAGAATGTCGACCTAATCCCATCAACTATCATACACAAGAGAAGGAGCACGCGCGCGTCCGTTTCACGTTCTAGTCGCCTGAATTGGTCTGTCGGCGTAATAAAACACACAACACAACGCAGCTGCGGCGGGGTCTTGTCCATCTACAACTTTTACCATGTACCGGTTGCGTGAAGCCCTCCTCACCCACCCAACCTATTCGGCAAAACCCCTCTAGACGAACAACAGATACACGCAGTGGCTGTTGAAGCAGCAGCAGCAGCGGCAGCCGTCGCCGGTTCTGGTATCGGCTTAGAGGAGCTGCGCCAGTAGCACGACCACAGGAGGAAAAAGCCCATAATACATGGTCACAAGGATGCTGTCGTACATGGGCCGCACAGCACTGCTACACACACCCAGCGAGAAGCGGAAGAAGACGACCACCAACAACGACAACAACAGATGCCATGGAGTCAAAACACACGCCACCACGTCCCATAAAACAGCACCAGCATGCATGATGACAACCCTAAAGCTGGAGCTCCTTCCTCCAACTCATTCCTTCACACACGTGCACACATACCTAGCATTAAGTTTCCCGAAGTCACACAGAAGCCTAGCCAGCCGGGCACGCAGCCAACGTCCCCGCCACCACCACAGATGGCTGCGCCCTCGTGCTGTTAACGCTGCTTCCTGCTCAACTCGTCTTGAAATCCGCCGCAGCTCTAGCGACACTCGTCAGCAGCCCTATCATATTCACCCCCGTGTATCCTTTCTCTCAGCCAATTCGGGAAACGTTGACCGATCTCTTGCGCTACCGCACCGTCGGTAACGCTGCCGCAGCCACCGCTCACGGTGGAGCATGTGTCTCGCGGCCCTGCTCGGCACAGGTCCCCCTTTCGACGCGCCTGCATCACCATCTTAATGGTGCTCAGAGTCCAAGGACTCTTTTCCTCCCACGGACAGCCGGCGTCGTACGGACTAAAGCTAAGCAGCGGACAGCAGTACGTAGTCCCGTCACCGCCCATCACCAAGAAGAAGATGCTCTTGCCGCCGTCCACGCGCAAGCTGCGCCGCGAATAACGGGAGGCCGGACTGCAACAAGCCTACAGTAGCGCCGTGCACGCCGTCCTATCAATACACGGAGTAGTCTTCCTCAGTCTATACCCCACCCCTGGACACCACGCCGTTCCTTGATCTGTGGCAGATGATGGAAGCAGTGAGTAGCCGCAGAAAGGAGGCCGTTGAGCATAGCCGAGAGAGGCAAACGCCGCGTGGTGATACGTGTGCCATTGCAGGCGCCTGCCCTTACGTAGGACGCCTTACTCCTCTCTCTCTCGGAAACATATTGTGAGACCACCGTTTCCGTCATGTGTACCAGCAAACGCGGACCAAGGTTGCCCACGGCTGCGTCTCGAAGAACAGGAGGCGCATAATCAGTGTGATTATTCTCCGGCCAACTACTGTATACCGCGCATGTCAAGGGCAACGCCCTTGGGCAGATAACACACCAGCTGAACAACGGAGGCGAGCAATCACGGCCTGCTGCTCTTTGGACTACTCCGCCAATGTTCCGCAGCAACCTCTCTCACAGCATGAAAGAAGCAGCACGCCGTGACGAACCACTGCCGACTGAGTGCGCTTTCGACTCGGAGGCTACCTCCCAGCCCTTTTCTCCGCAGGGTTCTTCCCTGCTGCTGCTGCTGCTGCGGCGGCGGCGGCGGCGGCGGCGTCTTCCTCTATCTGCATGCGGCGAACCTTCGCCTCTCCGCGAAGCCGCCCCCTTCGCTTGGCATTCTCGAGCGCTGTCTCGTCGTGCAGCGCGAATCGGTCGAGGGCGACGTACCCTACGTAAGAAGCAGAGGCCAACGCAAGAGCTACTTGCTGCAACGTGCGCTTGCGGCTCATGGTGACGCCACAGCAGCAGGAGATGTGTTGGGTGTGCAAGCAAACGAGGCAGACGGACGAGGCAGGTGCGGCGGGATTAGGTGGGTTCGGGGGGGGGGGGGGGGCACGCAGATTACTAAATCAAGTCCCTCCCACAAGAGCGAGAAATAGCTAACGGCTGCCACTGCGGTTGCAGCCCAAAACAACTTGAGCTGTTGCCAATAGAGGAGGCAGAAGAGGGAGCCCACGTATCAGCACAGGAAGGTGCAGCCACGACAGACGGGAAAACACTCGGGATTGCGTGGGACCAACCTCGGCATCTTGTAGGTAGAAAGAGCGAGACGACTGTTTACACCCACGCTTGGGGATAGCAGCAGATACCAGACCCAAATGCCGACGCCGGGTGCAGCAGCATCAGAGGACATGGACGTCAGCCAAACGGAAGAAGAGCAGGGGAAGGGGGAAGGAGAGGGCGAGCACGAGATGACGGTGGCCGAGGAGGAGGAAGGGGAGGAGGAAAGCGCAGGAGAGACCGAGCAAGAGGACGGGGGTCCAGCAGCAGGAGACACGCAGCAAGCAACAACGGCAGCAGCAGCTGAGGCAGCACCGCCCCAGCAACGGGAAGAACCTCCCGCGCCGGCGCGGCTGCTGATCACAAAGATGGAGATGGAGAACTTCAAGTCCTACGGCGGACTTCGGGAGATCGGCCCCTTCCACAAGTGCTTCTCCTCCATCGTGGGGCCCAACGGGTCCGGCAAGTCCAACGTGATCGACGCCATGCTCTTCGTCTTCGGAAAGCGGGCCAAGAAGCTCTGCCTGAACAAGCTCGGCGAGCTCATCCACCGCTCGGACACCTACCCCAACCTGGACTTCTGCCGCGTGTCGGTGCACTTTGTGGACATCCTGGACGTGTCCGGGTCGGAGGACGACTACGAGGAGGTGAGGAGGGAGGAGGAAAATCGTTTCCGTGAACAGGGTCACACAAGATACCACACTCCCTTGGACGGATTTTGAAAGTCCTCCACAGCTTGGCTTACAGCATAGTGAGAGGATATGAGTAGAAACAGCAGTCCGAGGGGAGAGAGGTGAAAGTTTACGAGTTGGAAAAGTCTAAGTCTGGCAAATGCTGCATATTACAAGGCAATTCACAACGCAATTCCAGATGTTGTTGTACGGGAACGTGTGCAGAAAACTGCGATCCGAAAAAGAGCGCTGTCTGTACGTACGTAGCACAACCGTCCGTTGGAGCTGCTGCTGTGTAGGCAAATCGCTTGCAGAAGCAGGCATACATCGACATTTACTACGGTCCCAACGCCTCTACTTTCGGCACCTTCACCTCATGTTCCGCTGTGAACATGTATACGAGCTTCTCGCGTACTCCACAGCGGAACAAAAGAGTGGAGGTGCGGAAAGGGTAGCGGCGTTGGCCATCTCCTAGAGAGCTTTCCGAAAACATATTGTCACACATATTCGAACTTGGAATTTTCGGCCCGGGGTATATCTTACAGCTGTACGTCACCACCGGCAGTAGTGTCATTCAGTTGAGTGATTTCCAATCACGATCGGCGACAGCAAACGAAGTAGCAGCAGCCACCATCATAATCACCACCATGAAAGAGTATCCTCGTGACGATGGTAGATCAGCCTGTGTGTGCGGGAGGCAGCGGTGCTGCAGAACGCACCAGTTCTTAGCACGCACGCCATATAGGTGTAGATCTCGGATGCCCTGCACACAACAGCTGCTGCTGTACGTACGCAACGCGAATTGTGATTTTTGTTTTCTGGAAACACGACCACAGGGCTGTCGTTGTCTGCCTACATAACGCTGCATGCAGTCTTCGACAACGTGACATGCTCCAAAATTACCCCTTCCATCGTTCTCCCAAAAATCGGATCGGTTCCTGGATTGGTCGGAGAACAGGTCCCCGGAACGGAGCTCGTGGTGACCCGCACCGCGTACAAGGACAACCACAGCAAGTACGAGGTCGATGGCAAAACCAAGACTTTCAAAGAGGTGAGTGAAGAACATTATTTTTTTTTTCTCGCTCTACAAGTATGTACCCGTGTAAGTAAACCCCAGCTATCGATCTGTTCCTCCACACTGCGGCGGTTTCAGCTTTGTCGTCTTCCCGGGAATCATAATCTGTGTGATATCCGTACGAAGATATCTACGAAGTAATCTTGACGTTTTGTGCCCTTTGCTTTTTTCGTTTCCGCTGCGGGGGCTGTCGCAGGTTGGAGCACTGCTGCGCAAGAGGGGCGTGGACCTGGACAACAACCGTTTCCTCATCCTGCAGGTGCGGGGACGAGGGGGTGGGAGGGCGTTACTCATGTTTTGCATGCCTCAGCTGTTAGACCATTGTGGACCTTGACATCAAACGTTTACTCATCCTGCAGGTGCGAAGGTTGTGTGTGTGTACTCATGTTTTGCATGCCTCAGCGGTTAGACATTGACCACACGTCCATCCTCAAGAGGACGGAGCATTGTTCCCATGGGGAGGGGTGGGATCAACGTGCTGTGGGGTTCAACTTTTCCTTTCTTGTGCGAGGGGAGATGGGTGAGTGTGGGTGTACGCCATGGCCGGCAAGTACAGACGGGGCAGATCTCAACGGTATAATATCCCAAGGGCGTTTGGCCTTTCTTCGTGACATGCCTACACCCATCGAGTACAACCATATGGCGAGTTCCCGCAATTTCTCAAGACGATCGTAACATACATCGCGGCACCATCAAAAATAGTATTTGCTGGGTTTGTGTTGGACACGCGTTGAGCGTCGCAGGCCGGTGTGGCTGCGTTCAGGGCGAGAAAACGGCAGATGGTCACAATGAGAAGGTGGAAATCATGCCTGACCGAGCTCGCTTTTGTTTTTTCGTCACAGCTAGTTTGAAGGTCGAAACAAGACTTTTTTTTTTTCTCCCGCGTATTTGGTGCACTCCGAGAGGCATTATCAATGGGAAGGCCGAAACCAGAGCCTGCCAAAACTCACCTTTCTTTCCTTTTTTTTTTCCCCGCATCTTTGGCGAACACACACGCACGCGCGGCCGCGGCACTCAGGGAGAGGTGGAGCAGGTCACCACATGTCAAAACCATACAGCAGTAGCCTGGCCGAACCCGTATTTTTTCTTTTTTCACGGTGGGAATGTCGAAACCACAACTGCTTGTTGCCTTTGCGCATATTTGGTGCCTGCACACACGGTTGCGACGCATGGTTGTGGCACTCAAGGAGAGGTGGCAACAACGGGAATTCGTCGAGACCAGAGCCGCTGAACTCCCCCCCCACGTTTTTTTTTCTCTCGTGCCTGTTTTGGCATACACACCCACGCGCGGGCGCGCGCGCGGCTGCGGCACTTCAGGGAGAGGTGGAGCAGATCGCGATGATGAAGCCCAAGGGCCTCACCGAGCACGAGGACGGGCTCCTGGAGTACCTGGAAGACATCATCGGGTCCGACCGTTTCGTTGAGGCGGCGGAGGAGGCCGCCAGGAGGGTGGAGGAGCTCAACGACCAGCGCACCGAAAAGGTACGTGGTGTGGCGGGGGTTATAGCGGTGTTGTTTCTTTTGCTGTGAGTGATGGGGCGCCATACCTGTAGCAGCAGTTAGTGGTGGATAGGACACGTGCATTGTTTTTTTGGTGAGGGGGGTACCAGCGTATCCGAAAAGGTTGCAGCAGCCGTTGATGGTGGTAATGACAAGCGCGTGTTTTTGTAGTGGATGGGGCTACCTGCGTACATATCCGAAAAGGTACGTAGCAGCCGTTAGGGGTGGCAAGGACACTCGTGTGTTTTTTGCTGTGAGTAATGGGGCTACCAGCGCACCGACAAGCTACTCTGTATGTATGTTGGAGCAGATAGTGGTGGACCTGGTGCAGCGAACCCCTGTTTTAGCAGTAGCCGTCGCAATTTTTTTCTATTTTGTAAACATGTTGGGTAAAGCATGCAATCGGGGGAGTTGGGTAAGGGTTAGGGTTAGGGAATAGGGTCTGCGTACCCCCTTCCTGTTCTATTTCCCCCATACACTTGATTTTTCGCGAAGGCGGCCCTGTTTTAGCGACACTCCATGTGTAGCGACTACAACATCAGGTGGCGCGCTCAGCATCCGCGAGTGAATAGCCGCGATGCGATCTGCCCTGAGTAGCGACCATGTCCCTCCTGACACTAAATACTGCTGTAGGGGTCGCTCAGCCCGACCCACCAATGCTGTTAGTATAGTACTTCCTGGCAGTCGGAGGGGTCCGTTCCAGGGTGGGGTTTGTTGGTGGCAGGAAAGCAGGCCTTGCACTACTTGCAGGGGTAGGTCGCCGGGGGTGTGAAACGAAATCTTTCACGATTGAGTCACACTGCAGTGCCGGGTGTCAGTACCGTAGCGCACACAGAAGATGTATTTAATGTGCCTTTTTTAGTTTGCATTTAGTACATATTTTTGGGTAAGTTAGCTTGTGGCCACGGGAATCGACCGCGTCAAGTGTTAGACTAGTACGGACAGAAGAAGGTATTGGGTAGAGATCGGAACGTTTTTTTGTGTGAAGACAACAACATTTTTCGTGTGTCGCTGACGTCCTGTGTCTGAAATCGCCAAAGAAGGACCTCAACCCAGACGTCTGATCCACACCCAGCTCAACCGGCATAAAATAGCCGAGAAGGAGAAAAGTCTGCTGTTTTGGTGCCGACACCGCAGAACATTTTCGCGCACTTTTTTTCCGCAAGAACGACAACATTAACGGTACATGCGTTCAACACTCACGTTTTTTCCTTTGTTCGTTCTTGTTCCGTCTGGTCCATTCACGCCAGCTCAACCGGCTTAAGCTGGCTGAGAAGGAGAAGGACTCCCTGGAGGGGGACAAGCAGAAGGCGTACGAGTTCCTCCGCCTTGATGCTGCCATCCGCAAGAAGCAGAACATCCTGTACCAGTCCAACATGGCCCACGCCGCCACCAACGTGGAGAAGGTACTGCGGTATATGCAGCAGTAGTTCGTTGTCTCGGTGTACCGTACCGCGGTGTAGTGACAGGCAAAATCACCGCGGTAATGAACCACCGCGCTCATACAGCTTTTTGTATGGTAGCCAAATCCTGTGACAAGGGATTTATACCGCGGTACTCGGGAGACACCGCTGTATGTGGGATGATGTCCAGGGTGATTATTTGATTATCTGAATGCGGTGTGCGGGGGTGTTGCTGCTGCTGCTGCTGTTCCTCTTGTTGTTGTTGTTGTTGTCATCGTTGCTGCTGCTGTTTTGTTTGTTGTATTTCGATTCCATCCCCCGCACCGCTCTTGTTGTCGGTCGGTCTGTAGGTGATGGAAAAGGAGGAGGAGAGGAAGGAAAGGCTGAGGCACGAGAGGGAAAAGCTGGCCAGCACCCTCAAGGAGTTGGAGGAGACCAAGAAGGTCCACAAGCGAGTATCCGGTGAGCTACTGCTGTACCCACGGTAGAGGTTCCCGATGTTGTGCCGGTATGCGCCCAGAGGTTTGACCGGCACTACTGCTGTGTACTATAATAGCATACCGGACACAGCCACTATTCGACACATACAGAAGGACTTTGTGGTTGAGTCTGTGCCTACCGAAAACCCCGGCAGTATTTCAACCGTTTGTATTGTACATGGTGTGAAGGATACATATCTTCGGGAAGCTTTTCCGTGGATGGATGGATGATTTGGAGAAGTGTTTTGCATTGCCGCAATTAGGTTGCCTCTGCGGCTCGTCCTGCTAGTCCTACTGATGCAAGTACATCATTTGGTTTTGGGGAAAGCCTCGTCTCCACGACAGCTCTGCACGATGAGGCGGCCGTCAGCGGTTGATGATGCAGTTGTGGGATTGATGTTGATATTGGGGTTGCTGCTGATGTTGATGGGCTATGCTGTTGTTCGTTGTTGAGACTGATTATTATTGGTGATTTTTTGTTGTTGATTTTGATTGTGGTGCTGTTGTTATTGAGGCTGATCTTCGTAGTGGTGCTGTGTTGTGGTTGATGCTGCAGCTTTTGGGATTGGTGTCGATGCTGCTGTCGAGGCTACCTATCGACGGTGGTGCCGTTGACGTCCTTGCTGTTTTTCACGGTGACCACGTTGATTGCCTTCTTATCCTTGCTGCAGGAGAGCACCAGAAGCTGACCGCGCAGATGAAGCGCACGAAGGAAGAGTTCAACGAATACGAGCGCAAGGACATCCAGCACCAGGAGGGCATGAAGCACTTCAAGGAGCAGGTATTGTGAAGTTTTCCCGCCATATTCGACTGTCGATTGGGAATGAATCACCTTCAAGGAGCAGCGATGACGCTACCCCTGTCTAGACATTGTCGTTGTTCGCTGTGAAACGTGTCAAGCAGTAGGTATGATGGCGTTTTCCCGTCCAGACATTGTTGTTCGTCTGTCGATTCGACATGAATCGCATCATAGAGCAGCAATGACGCCACCCTGTTTAGACATTGAGGCCCGTCGTCGCTAGTCGGTCGTTAGTCGGAACAGCAAACGTGACCCCGTGGTGTGTGTGTCGCGACTATAGCTTGGTCGCGCCCCTCACTGCCGTCAGCGCTAACCGGCTGACCAATGAAAACACGTCAATTTTGTACGTAGTGCTATGTTATTCGCGAATATGCTGTGTGTTGTCAGATAATGTGCGTGTTTGTTTCCGCGATTGCAACTTGGTCACGTCCGCACTGCCGTGAGCGCTAACCGGCTGACCAATGAAAACACGCCAGTCTTGTACATAGCGGGATGAAAAATGCGAAGATGCTGCTTGTCTGATGTGTGCGTTACCACAAGAGGTGGAGAGATGGCACCCCCCCTAGACCGACTTTCAAAGCTCGATTGCTCCACAACCGAGATTGTCTGTACCGTACCGTATACCGTACCGTGGTATTACCGTATGAGGCGGACAGATGGCACCGCCCCCCCCCCCCCAGATCGACTTTCAAAGCTCGATTGCTCCCCAACCAAGATTGTCTGTACCGTACCGTATACCGTACCGTGGTATTACCGTAAGAGGCGGACAGACAGATGGCACCGCCCCCGCCCTAGATCGACTTTCGAAGTTCGATTGCTCCGCAACCAAGGGGGCGCGGAGAAAGCCCGGCACGTCTACGGAAAGCACTCGACTACATATATGTTTCCAAAACCACATTTTTTGGTGTTGGCATAGGCTTGGTTGTCCAGCAATCGAGAGTCAAGGGGAGGTGCGATCTCTCCGCCTCTTACACGGTAGTTTCCGCGATTGTGGCTTGGTCGCGTCCGCGCTACCGTGAGCGCCAACCAGCTGGTCAATGAGAAGACGTCAGCGTATGTATGCATAGCGGGATGAAAAATACGAAGATGCTGGTGTCTAATGTTTGCGTCTTTTGGTGATTGTCACGTGGCCGCGACCTCACACCGCCGTGACAACACAGACGAAGAAGCTGGAGGCGGCCATCAAGAAGGACACCAAACGCTCCAAAGACAGGTGTGTGTATGGCACCAGCACTAATAGTTGTAGCACCACACTTTTTGCGGGGGAAGCAGCGAATCCACAGCCGTAGGGAATGGCGCCGCCGCATCAGCAGCATCAGCAGCATCAGCAGCAGCAGCAGCAGTAGCAGTAGCGCCACGCTTTTCCTGAGTACCAGCGAAGCGAAGGGAACGCCGCCGCAGCAGCAGAAGCGACCCTGTTTGAGCTAGTATACACCACGCTTGAATTTAGTTGGGCCGCATGACAGCGAGAGCTATAATCCAATGTCAGTCGCGGGTCGAATGTCCCGCTTGAGCTTGGTTGGGGGTATCATAGATCCGATGCGACTGCGATAGTTGCATGCATTGGTCTGCTGTGTTTCGAGGTTTGATGGATGTTTCCATATGCAAGCCGCGGTGGCAAGCAAAGTAAATTCGAAGCTCTTTTTTTTTTGCGGAAATAGTGTTTAAGCTAGGAGGGTGGGGGGACAGGATGGCACCACTCTCTTTCTTGCGCGCAATATATCAGAATCGTCGTGATTTTCAAGACTACGTAGTCCTGGGCAGCAAGAGTGGCTGTGCCGGAAATGGCGACGGTGGAACCGTCCCGTCGAGAACTTTCGGAAAACGTTTCGATTGAATTGTACATCCTCTTCGTCGTTGAGTAGTCGAGGTTTGAAAATTAGTCCACCGGGTGTGGTATCTTGCGTCATGTCACCTACGGTAAACCGCCGCCAAAACGTGTAGCTAGATATTGATATCACAGCTGTGTTTCTTGCGGCGTTAGTGTACGTTTGGATACGACGTCGCTTTTGATTGTCCACATCACAGCCCATCGCCGCTCGCTCCATCGTCATCGTAGCTACAGCTGTTGCGGCCGTCACTGCCCCCACTCCGTAGACCTCTTGCTGGCTACGTGCTTGGTTGGTATTGCGCGCCGACTGCTGCGATGATTGTCCTGCCACTCTGTAGAGCTCTCGCTGGCTACGTGCTTGATTGTTATCGCGCGCCGACTGCTGTGATGATTGTCCTGCCTTTTTTTTTTCTTTTCGCGGGGGTGACTGCAGCCTGGCAAGGGCGGCGGAGCTGGAGGGCAGCCTGGACGGACTCCGGCGCGCTGTGGGCCAAGCGGAGGCAAGGAAGAAGACGGAGGACGAGGCCCTCGAAGAGGTAACCCGAAGAAATGCTTGCTTTCGCCGCCTTTGTGGGCGTGTGCCGTGTCTGGATCGGAAGGGGGTGTACTCATGTAAACGCATCCCGTAGTCGGTATGCCGTAGAAGGGGGAGGAGTGTTATTTTCTACTTCTCTCAGGCCACCTTTGTAGGCGTGTGCTGTGTCTGGACCGGAAGGGGTTTACAAATGTAAGCGCATGCCGTAGTCGGATGGAGGGGGGAGTGCCATTATTTTCTCTTTCGCCACCTTTGTAGGCGTGTGCTGTTGCCTCTGGACACTGTAGGGGGCGTTTGGCTGTCCACGTGTAAACGCATGCCGTAGTCGTTGGACCGTCGACCTCGCATCGCTACAAAGCCGGGACGGAGCGATATTTATCGCCGGCCCAGGCGGGGGGTTACACGACGTCGCTGGTGCGTTTGGAACGCCGTGAATACGTGTAAATATGCATTCGCAAGCACATGTGCCATTCTGTTTCTCGCCATCAATGTACCCGACGTCTCAAGCAAGCACGCACGCACGAGTGCCATTCTTTATCTCGCTACGGGTGCACCCGACGTGTTGTTCTCCTCGACCAGGTGAACGAGAGCCTAAAGGGCAAGACGGCGGAGCTCCGCGGCAAGCTGGAGGGGGAGCAGGAACGGGTCCGGCCCGTCCGGGAAGAAACCGACGCCCTCAGGAACAAGGTACGAAACCAATAAGAGACCGATGCTCTCAGATACAAGGTATAAAGTCGTTAGAGACCGATGCTCTCAGAAACAGGGTACAAAATCGTAAGAGACCGATGCTGTCAGAAACAAGGCACAAAATCGTAAGAGACCGATGCTCTCGGAAACAAGGTACAAAATCGTAGGAGACCGATGCTCTCAGAAACAAGGTGCAAATCATGAGAGACCAATGCTCTTAGGAATAAGTATACATTACATACATTAAGTCGTTATGGCTTCAGGAGGACACTCATGTTTGTCTTTTGAGAAGGCGTGCTTTGAGGCATGGTATAAATTACGCACATGTATGTAGTCGTTATCGCTTTTGAGGACACTCCGTGTTTTTACTACGAAAAATCTGTCCGAAAGGGTACAAGTTGCATACTTATCGTCGTTCTCGCTCTACGCACACGTGCATGTTTTTTATTCTAAATATAATTGTTGTCCTTGAAGGTGCATAGTCGTGTTCTCGCTTTGAAGATGGTTTTTATACAACAAACGGGGAAAAAGAGAATTACGCACTTGGATGTTTCGGTTGGAAGCGAACCTCGCCAAGCGAAGCCCGCTGTCTTCTTCCCCCCCCACGCCCCTCCTGGTTCGTTTTTCTTTCTTGTCCATTTTTCGTGCCACCGCCAACAAAATTTTGTTATTGTCTGTGGACGTCCCACGTCCCTGCTTGGTTTGTCCTTTTTCCATGCTGTTTTTTTCATGTTTATGACCGAGGTGGAGCCTGCTTCTCTGCCTGTCTTGGTTGTAGATTTATCTTGCCTTTTTTTGCCATTTCCATGCTGTTTTGATCATGTTTATCACTGCGGTGGCTCCTCTCTGCCCGTCTTGGTTATAGATTTATTTTGCCTTTCTGATGTTTCTTTTGTCACCGCGGTGGCGCCTGCCGCCCTTCTTGCCTGCGTGTCTTGGCAGGTGGACACGTGCAAGTGCGAGATCAAGCTGGTGCGCGAGTCGACGGAGAGCGCGAAGAAGAGGCTGAAGGACGCGGAAGCCGCCCTGGAGAAGCTCCTCGAGAAGGCGGAGGCGGACAAGGGGGAGCTCGCCCACGCAAGGTAGGTACAGCAGTAGGTGGCCCGATATAGTGGCATGAAGGGACGCGAGGAGAATATGCCACTATTCAGGGCAGTACCCCTATTATATTCGATATATTTTTGTTCATGTATCATACATGTTGAGATTGTGACAAGATATTTTGATGCCACTACATATGTTGACGGTTCTACTATTCAAGTCGCCACTATTTCCGGCCACCTACGTACCGCAGGTGACATGGCGTTAGATAGCACCCCCCCCCTCCACCGATAATTTGGAAGCTACGTAGGTTGACTACAGCAAAGGATGCGGCGGTATTGGAACCGTCTCGTCGAGAGCTTTCCGTTTAACGTTTCGTTTGATTCGTACACCCTTTTCGTCGTGGAGTAACTATTATAGCCGTCTGAAGATCGGTCCAGGGGTGTGTTATCTTATGCCACCTACGGTCTACAGGAGTATGTAGCGGCTGTGGTTTTTTGAGAGAGAGGGTAGGGACAAGCAAGTAACACTCCCTTAAGTACGGGTCGTCTGTTTAACCGCATGTAATACGGTTCGTCTGCTCAACCATGGTATGTATTTTTGTGGTTTCTCACGGGTGGGGCAAGCCACTTTTCCCCCCTGAAATCCTTCCTTTCTCTTGAATACTCTGCCTCTAAGCCTAACCCTAATCCCAACCCTTAACAATCTAACAATAACCTGGACACCCTAGTCGCTGCTGTAGCGGTTAATTCCAGCGGTAACATGGTGGACCTGTAGTGGTCCCTCTATTGTAGTATTGTAGTGCTATATAGGGGATTGGCCGGCCTTGAAACGGGCCGGGCACTTAGCGGGCACTACGATACGGTGCAGAGCGTGGGACAGGCTGAATATTTTGCCTTTCGCGGCGCGACCCAGGCTACCTTCTTGTACACCGATCGCCATCCAAGGGCGAGCAGCGTCGCCCCAGCCTGCTTCCAGCGTTGGCGTTCTCCCCCGCGTGGAAACAGTGCTCCGTCCTCTCGAGGACGCGTGGCCAGTGGTCTCTGTAGCCGCTAAGGCATGCGTTATCATGAGTACCCCCACCCCCAATCCCTCTCCGTTGGTCCATCAGGAAGGACTCCCGGTCCATGGAGACGCAAATTAGCCAGGCGGAAGAGAAGGTGGCCGAGGCTCAGCGTCAGGTTTCGACTGCTACGGAGGCCATGGGCAGAGCCGTCGCCGCCGCTGAAGAGGTGTGTTTTTGCTGTTGTTGTTGTTGTCGTTGTTGCTGTTGTTCTTGTTCTTGTTGTTGTCGTTGTTGCTGTTGTTGTTGTTGTTGTTGTTGTTGTTGTTGTTGTTGTTGTTGTTGTTGTTGTTGTTGTTGTTGCTGCTGCTGCTGCCGCTGTTGTTGTCGTTGGTGGTGCTGGTGGTGCTGCGATGTTGTTTTTCTTTTGTTGACGTTCATGTGGTCGTCGTTGTTGCTGCTGCTATTGTTGTTGTTGTTGTTTGCATTTGCTTCTGCTGCTGCTGCTGCTGCTGCTGCTGCTGCTGCTGCTGCTGCTGCTGCTGTCGTTGTTGTTGCAGCTGTCGTTATTGCTGCTGCTGCTGCTGTCATCGGTGTTGTCGTTGTTGTCGTTGCAGCGGGGGCCGGTGCTGTAAGCAAACCTGCGCCAACCCCGACGATACACTTTGCCGCCCTTCCATGCATGCTGCAGGCAAAGGCGTCGCGAGAATCGGCCGCAGGCAAGACCGGAGCCCTCCGCGCCCTGCTGGAGGCCTCGTCCCCGGGGGGCGCCCTTCACGGCGCCGGTATCTGTGGCCGTCTCGGCGACCTCGGGGCCATCGGAGCCGACTACGACGTGGCGGTGAGAGGCGGGGGAGAGATGGATACGTAGATGGTGGGTGAAAAGGTTTGGAACCGATCAACGTGGAGATGTACATGTAGATGGTGTGAAGGTTTGGAACTGATCAACGTGGTGATTGGACTGCTGGCAGGAGTATCGAAGTATTGGTGCATGATCGGAGGCGGTTACGACGTGGGGTTGGCGGAAAGTAGGTAAATAGATGGACGCATGATTCGGAGCCGGCTACGACGTAGCGGTGAGAGGCGGGGGCGGCAGATGGATAGGTAAGATGGTGTGAAGGTTTGGAACGGACTACTGCACCGGACTTGATAGGCGGTGAGAGACGGGGGGGGGGGCAGATAGGCAGATGGACGCATGGCGAAATAAAAGGCTTGGGGACCGATCCCGTGTTTTGTGTTGTCGTTTTCACCCTCCGGCTTTGATTGCTCCTTGATTGTGAGTCTTGTCGTCCGTTATCTTTGTTTACATGTCCTCCTGCTCCTCCTCCTCCTACTCCTACTCCTACTCCTCCCTTGCTCTATGTTCATCCTGTCGTGCCCCCTCCGAGGTAGGTGTCTTCGTGCACGGGGCAGATGGACAACATCGTGGTCCAGAGCGCCGAGGGGGCTACCGCTTGCGTGGAGTATCTCCGGGAGTGAGTGCCGTTTTGCCTTCTGGACCCCGCCGTGTCTGCCGCCCTTTTCCCAGTGGAGGAACTGGCACGATATTTACATATACGTCTATTTTTATGTTGCAGTGCATTTTAGCCCCTTCGGAAGGACATCATGTTGGTGGGTGTCCATGCATATTTCGGTTTGTTCTTGTATTGTGTTCTTTTTTTTTGGAAGGGCATATTCTGCACAACTACACCTGTAGTGATATAGCAGTCCCTCCACATGGGTTTGATCACCCCCACGGCTTGCATCCCTCATCAAGAAGCGCTCCCTGTCGGAATGTGTGTCCACATGTTATTTAGCTACTGCACGCTGGTGTAGATCTTCCCCCCATCTTTGGTTTCTTTTTTTGGGCAAATCTTGAAATGTTCCTCCCGCTGGTGTGTCGACATCTTGGTGTTGATCTTCTTCCCTCTTTTGTCATTTATTGCGCGAAATGTTCAAATGTTTCTCTTTTCAGGCACAGGCTCGGCCGGCTGTCGTTCATCATCCTGGAGAAGCTGGGCCATCTGGAGAATGCGATGGGACAGCGGTTCCAGGCCCCCGCCGGATGCCCACGGCTGTTCGACCTCCTGGAGGTGTCCGAACCAAGGTGGGACGTAATTGAAGTTTGTCCTCGTACGGTAGGCATGATACAGCAGAAGCAGAGTCGTGTTTGCTTATCGCGCAGCAGGAAAAGTTGCAGAACGAGTGCCCCGCGGCGTTGTAACTTTTTTTTTTTTGGAGGGGGGGAGGTACTCATAGTCGTGCATGCCGTAGTCGTTAGACCATTGACTTCGCATCCCTACAAAACCGGGACGGAGCACGCCGGGTTCTCACCGGACCAGCTGTGAGGCATGGGATAGCGAAGAGAAGACAATATCTATGAATGGGGGTATGAAAAGTGGGATGAAGAGGCGGGAAGAAGCATCGATAGGATGGGGAATCACATGTTTGAGCCATCTTTGGCAAAGCACGAACGACAAGTTGGCCACCGGTGATCGGTCCTCTGTGGGAGCATTGCTCCGTCCTCTCGAGGACGCACGGTCAAAGGGGTCCAGCAACTATTACATGCTAAACATGAGTACCCCCCCCCCCCCCCCCCCCCCTCC